GGTATAGGACTTCTGACTTATTCACGGTTTTTTACCTTTCCAATTTCCCCCCAGCCCAATCCTAGCAGTTTCTTCTCCTTTGGGAGAAAATGGAGCAGCTACTAATTTGCAAGAAGGTGTGTGAGAGTGTGTGTGTGAGAGTGTGTGTCTGGGGTTGCTTGTTTATAGTTTCAATATCTTTTGGATCAACAACATTTTCTCTTTAAAACCAAGTTTTCCGTGCTAATCTTTTCTGATTGGAGAAAGCAGTTGTATGTAAATGTTTCCTAACCCTTGATCCGAAAAAGGTTGGCCTCATTTACTTCTTACACAGTCCAAGCAGCATTTCTGGGGTTTTTTATGCTTATATACAAAGCTTGATTTTAACTTGGTGTAGACTTTTCTTTTTAGTATCATAATTTTCATTAGTTCTATTCCCCCTGTTTTTAATGCTGTCATCTGTACTGCTAGTATTTAATAAAAGGATAGTGTATTTCAATTTTTCTAAGTTTCTTTATATAAACCATGTTTACAGGAGAAAATGCAAAAGCTTGTAAGAACTTTATGAAAACCTAAAACATGTAAACATTTAAATATTGTGAAAATAAATTTATTGTAAAAACACACACACACACACACACAAAGAAACAGAGGAGGGAGAGAACTGTTTAAAAGGGATATATGATTAGATATTATTGTCTTAACAGGAGTCCAGAATGAAGGCTGCACTTGTGGGGAGGGACTGAATAAAAATGAAACAATTTTTCTTTTACTTTTAAAAGACAGGAATGAACTGGAGGGGAGAGGTGGGCAGGGAGAAAAGTGTAACAATGAATGAATGGAAATCCAAAATTTCTGTAAATTTTCACTAAAATTATTAATAATAATAATAAAATTTTTAAAAACAAAATCAAGCCTTTCTTTTCACTAATTCTTGGGAGGACTTTGAAAAAAAATTCTTACTCTTCATTGAGATATGGTTCCTCTTGGCATGTAATGGCTCTAATTCTCTAATGTTATAAAATGGCATGATGAATATGTTCAAGTTTCACTTCTAGTGCAATAAGTATTGACAGCTATAACTTATAAACAGAAGCAAACAGGTCCTGGAATAAAAAAATGGGAAAGCTACTGTCCTAGGTGAATGATATGATGTTCTTTTCTCCAGCCCTGCATCAAATCAATCTCACTGCCATTACTCTCTTCCGGTCCACACCACTAGGAAAAAGTTTGACATTAACATTGATATTTACTTTAAGGAAAACAATTTCTCCTGAGGCAAAAGTTAAGGTCATTGTTGTCAGGTGCTGATGAGTCAATTCTGACTTAGGGTGACCTCATGCGAAAGAACAGAAGTATCCCATCGAGATTTCTAGACTATAATGTTTTGGGGTATGATGATTATTATTAATTTTAAAGAAAGTTTACAGAGACTGAGGATTCCCATTCATTCATTGTTGCACTTTTCTCCCTACCCACCCCTCCCTCCAATTTGCTCTTCTCTGTGAAAAATAAAAGAAAAATTCTTTCATTGTTAGACAATTCCTCCCCCCAAGTCCACTCCACTGTGCAGCCTTCATTCTGGACTACTGTCATGACAATAATACCTAATCATATATCCCTTTTAAACAGTTCTCTCTCTCATCTGTTTCAATGCAGTATACAATATTTATCCCATCTTTCTCAGTCTCTCCACAACCATGATGTCAGTCCTGTTTTACAACAGTGACACTATGCAGTATCAGGATTATAATGTTAACAGAAATAGCTTGCAAGGTCTTTCTCCAGTGGAGCTGCTGGTGGATTTGAATCACTGACCTCTTGTTCAACAACCTCCCATTTAACCTAGAGCATCTCCAGGGCTCCTTCAAGACCCACTAATAAAAAATACATTGTTATCCATAGTATTTCTAAGGCTGTAAAATCTCTAGGGAAGTGAACTGCTGCTTTATTCTGCAAAGAGCCTGGTGGATTCCATCTAATAAACTTTGGCTACTAGCTTAGTTCTTAACCAGAGTCACCACGTTCTTTCAAAGCCCATTAAATTCTCCCTCTTTTTGAATGGGTTTAAGCACATTTGAGATTACGAGGATGGAGTAAGAGTAGATATGGTTTTGATCTGTTATAAATAAGATCACTTTGAGATGGAAACCATTCAATAATACCTCTTGGTGGTATACATGCCATCAAGATGATTACGATTAATAGCAACTCTATGAGCAACAGGTCAAAATTATGCCCTATCCTGTGCTACCCTCACTATCTACACTATGCTTCAGCCCATTGTTGCAGTCACCATGTTAATCTATTTTGTTGAGAGTTTTCCTCTCTTTTGTTGACTCTCTACTTTCAAGCATGTTGTCCTTCCCAAGGACTGGTGCCTCCTGATGATTGAGTAATTTCAGGAAGTAGCATATGATCAGGAACCAATGGTACTGAAGGAAGAAGTCTAAGCAGCACTGAAAGTATTGGGAAAAATAAGGCCCCATGAACTGACAGAACACTAAGTGATATGTTTCAACAATCAGATGCAGCCAGGGATGTGTTTACTAAGCTATGCCAAGAAATTTGGAAGATAAGACTTATAAGAGAGACACCTCTTCTGCATCAGGCTCTGCCTCCCACAAGTGCCCAAACAATTTTGGACTCCGCCTTGCTCTTCTGCCTTCTGGGTAGCTTTTACTTGTTGGGTGGCAAAAAACAAGGCTCCAGGAATTGATGGTATACCAATCAATGTATTTCAACAAACAGATGCTGCCCTAGATGTGCTCACCAAGTTGTGTCATGAAATCTGGAGACCAACCACTTGGCCAACTGTCTGGAAGAAATCTATATTTGTTCCCATTCCAAAGAAAGGTGATCCAACAGAGTGTGGAAACTATTTAACAATATCATTACTATCACATGCAAGCAAGATTCTGCTGAAGATTATCCAAAAATGACTGGAACGGCACATCAACAGAGAACTGCCAGAAATCCAGGCTGAGTTTAGAAGGTATCGTGGTACTAGAGATACTGTAACTAATTTTAGATGGATCTTGGTTGAAAGCAGGGAGTACCAGAGGAATGTCTATCTTTGTTTCATTGATTTTGTAAAGGAGTTTGACTGTGTGGATCACAACAAACTGTGGCTAACTCTAAGAGGAATGGGAATCCCAGAACATTTGATTGTGCTAATGCGGAATCTATACTTGGGTCAAGAGGCAGTCATCAGAACAGAGCACAGAAATACAGCAGGGTTCAAACTTGGGAAGGGTGTATGCCAGGGATGTGTCCTATCCCCATATCTTTTCACTCTACATACAGAACAAATTTTCCAGGAGGCTGAGCTATATGAGGAGAAATATGGCATCAGGATTGGAGGAAGATTCATCAACAATCTGTGTTATGCAGACGACACAACCCTGCTTGCTGAAGCTGAAGAACACCTGAAGTGCTTGCTGCAGAGGGTCAAGGACTGCAGCCTCCAATATGGATTGAGGCTCAATGTCAAGAAGACAGAGATTCTCACCACTGGACCAACTGGCAGCATCAGGATGATCAGCATCAGTGGAGAGATTGAGACTGTTCACAGCTTTCGTTTGCTTGGCTCCACAATCAACACTTTTGACACAAGCAGCCAGGAAATTAAAAGACACATTGTGATGGGAAAGTCTGCTGTTGAGAGACCTTTCCAAATTCCTGAAGAGCAACTATGTCAGTCTGGAGACTAAGGTGCCCCTGATACAGTCCATAGTCTTTGCAATCACTTGCTATGCATTAGAGAGCTAGACAGTGACTAGGAGTGATAGAAGGAGAATTGATGCCTTTGAGCTGTCATGTTGGAGAAGAGTATTGACTATACCATGGATTGCTAAGAAAAGGAACACGTTCATCCTAGGGAGGGTTAAAACCAGGCTGCTCCTTGGAGGCAAGGATTCTGTAGCTTCATCTAACACACTTTGGAAGTGTTGCAATGAAGGGACCAGACCTTAGAGAGGGACGTCATGCTTGGGAGGGTGGAGGGACAGCACAGCAGAGGAAGATTCTCTGTGAAGTGAATTGATTCAGTGACTGGGGTAGTCAGGGTGGGACTATTGGAGACGGTGAGATTGGCATAGGATAGAGCAGGGTTTAGGGTTGTTGTACATAGGGTAACTATGAGTCACAGGCAACTCGACAGCACGTAACAACAACAACAAGAGATCCATATATGTGCCCTGTTTATTCTGGGCCTTTTTAAAAAGGTCATCTAATAGAATGTGGAAATTATTGAACAATCTCATTAATATCATGCACAAGGAAAAACCTTGAAGATTATTTAAAAATGGCTGAAGCAGTACAGCAACAGGAAACTGACAGAATTCAAGCTGGATACAACAAAGATCATTCATGGTGCAAAGGAGATCATTGCTGATGTCAGATGCATCTTGGCTGAAAGCAAAGGGATACCAGAATGATGGTCCCCTCTGGAGGGCCAATGGAACAATGGAGATAACACGCCTGGCTACAGATCAGAAGATTCTACAAAGATATTCCCATGCTTTTTAATGACTATGTAAAGGCGTTCAACTGTTTGGATCACCATATATCATGGCTAACAACAGCTTTTGGGAGGCTATGGCCTGGAACTGCCACGAGTGGAGCTGGCTGGGTAGGCGGAGCCAAGTGGGTGGGCGGAGTCATTGGCCTGGAACTGTCATGGGTGGGGCTGGTGGGTGGGCGGAGCCAAGTGGGTGGGCGGGTTTATGCCCCAGCGTGAAGTGAAGTGCGTCACAGAGAGTGGGACCAGCCCCCGTCGCACTGCATTTTGGGAAGTGGCGTCAAAGCTATCATCAGCCAATGAGACGTCGCCTGCGTCATAAAGGCGCCATTGTGAAGGCCTTGATGATGGCGCCTTCTGGGCAGCGTGGCGACACAGGGGACCAGGCCTGGCTCTGGGCTGCTGGCCACACCGTGGCTGTGCCTGTGGCCCCAGGACCGCCCTAGCCGGCAGGAGCCCCGCTCAGGGTGGCTGCCAGCGCGGGTACCCGACGTCCAGCATGGTGGACTACTACGAGGTGCTGGGCGTGCCTCTGCGGGCCTCGCAGGAGGCCATCCGGAAGGCGTACCGCAAGCTGGCGCTCAAGTGGCACCCCGACAAGAACCCCGAGAACAAGGAGGAGGCGGAGAGGAGGTTCAAACAGGTGGCGGAGGCCTACGAGGTGCTGTCGGACGCCAAGAAACGCGAGGTCTACGACAGATGGGGCCAGACCAGGACGGGCGGCGGGGGTGGCTGCGGTGGCGGCTGCGGCGGTGGCGGCCGGCACTTCGAGGACCCCTTCGACTATGTCTTCACCTTCCGCGACCCGAGCGAGGTCTTCAGGGAGTTTTTCGGAGGCAGGGACCACTTTTCCTCTGATTTCTGCGCAGGTCCATTTGAGGGCATTTTTGGGTGTCGGAGAAGCTCGCGAAGAGGCCGAAATAGAAGGTCTTCATCCCTTTTCTCCACCTTCAGTGAAATTCCAGGTTTCGGGGGTGGTTTTCCTACTTACGATGCAGGGCCTACTTCCTTCGGTTCCATGGACGGTGGAGGCCGCTTTTCCTTCTCTGTGTCCTGTGGGAGTGGCAGGACCTGCAACTTCAAATCCGTGTCCACTTCCACGGAAATACTGAATGGCAAAAAAGTCACCACCAAGAGAATCCTCGAGAATGGCCAAGAAAGGGTGGAAGTGGAGGAAGATGGGAAGTTAAAGTCTCTGATAATAAATGGCAGAGAGCAGCTGTTGCACGTTGACACCAGTTAATTCAAGTCCACCTTCGACATAAATCACCTTTCAATAGTAGGACTTTTTTATTGGTTGGTTTTTGTGTTGTTTTTTTTTTTAAAGAAAGAAAAAGAAGAACGTACATGAACTCTACTAGAACTCTACAGCTGTCCTCAAGAGTTTATAAACAGTTCCTGCAAATGCCTGTTTGTCATTATTGTTGGAGCCACATGAATAGGACCGCTATTTACCTTAAATACAGTTACAAATGTCTGTATGCAAGTAGTTGTTTATTCAACTCAGTCTCAGGGTTCAGGTGATTCTTTCCTAAGGCCAGGACACAATGTTCATCTGAACCTGGCCTTTGTGTTCTGTTTGAAGTTAAGCAAACTGCTGCCAAGATAAATTGAGTTCAATATTCAGTGTTCAGTAGCGATGCTTTATGCTGCCATTGCAAAGGTACACGGTCAGAATCCACCAGCTGCTCCGGGGGAGAAGGATGGGCATTCTGTCCCTGTGCGTTTACTGCTATAAACCTTCTGGAGGGTCAGCTGTTGGTTGGTTCCAACTTAGTGGTACAAGTAACATAGGCAGTATAAAAGGTTTGCACCATCCTGATAGCTGAAACAGACTTCCTTGGTGGCTAAGTGTGTAGCATGGCCAGCCACTTAATCATAAGGTCCAGGTTCTCAGGGGCGTTAAGATTGGCAGTTCTTCCTACACTAAAGAATTTTTTTTTAATACTTTAGCGAAAGTTTACAGAAGACTTGATTTCCGTTCAATCGTTGTTTCACATTTTCCTCCCTATCCTCCCCTGTTCACTTTTCTCTTTGAAAAGCCCCTAAAACTTGATGCAAGATCATTAAAACCAAAATTGTTATGTGCCTTCAAGTCACCTGCAACTCATAGCGACCCTATGTAAAACAGCCTGCTCTATCCCTTGCCAATCTTATGGTCTCTGACACACCCCCTTACCCCAGTGACTGAGTCAGTCCATCTCCTCCTCTCCTGTGCTGTCCCTCCAGCCTCCCAAGCATGATGTCCCTCTCCAAGGACTAATCCCGCCTTGCAACGTGTCCAAAGTATGTCAGATGAAGCTTCAGAATCCTTGCCTCCAAGGAACAGCCTGCCTTCACCCTCTTCAGGATGAACTTGTTTGTTCTCCTAGCAGTCCGTGGTATATTCAATACTCTTCTCCAACACCTCAGCTCAAAGGCATCAACTATCTATTTATCATCCCTAGTCATTGTCCAGCTCTCTGATGCATTCAGAGTAGTTGCAAAGACCAAGGCCTGTATCAGTTGCACCTTAGTCTGTAGCCTGACATCATTACTCTTCAGTACTTCGGAGAGGTCTCTAACAGCACTTGCTCAATGCAATTCATCTTATGATTTCCTGGCTGCTGGTACCAAGAGTGTTGATTATAGAGCCAAGCAAACTGAAGCTGTCAACAATCTCAATCTCTTCATCATCTATCATGATGCTACCAATCGGCCCAGTGGTGAGAATTTTTATTTTTCTGGAATTCCCGTTCTTTGCAATGTCGTCCATAATTTATTAAAATCTACACACCAAATGCTTCTGCATATTCAGTAAAACAGGTTAAACATCTTTCTGGTATTTTCTGTTTTCAGCCAAGATCCTTTGGACCTTAACAGTGGTATTCCTCATTTCATGTCTGCTTTTGAATCTAACTTCAATTTTTGGCGGTTACCTGCCAATGTACTGTTGTAAAAGTTTTTTATTAACTTCAGCAAAAATGTACTTGTTTGTGATAATGATACTGTTCAGTATACTTCTGCATGCTGTTGGGTTACCTTTGGATGGATGGACACAAGTATGAATCTCTTCCTGTCATTCAGCTGGGAAGCTGTCCTTTGGAACTCTTGACAGAAACTGGTGAGTGTTTCTAGCTGTGCTTGATAGGTGAACTTTTTAATATGATTATTAATGTAATTTAAATAATGGTATCTATCATTCCATCTTATTTTAGTTAGAGTGACACTGATTTAAAAAAAAAACAAAAATATAACCAATATTATCTAAGATGTATGGAAATTGGAACCTTTATCCATTCATTGTTGGTGGGAGAGTGAACTGGTACAACTCCAATAGAAAATACAATGTTTTCTCAGAAAACTAGAAATTAATTATTGCTATGAGAAACATAGACCAGCAGACAGTTGTCAGAACAGAGCAAGGAAACACTGCATGGTTCAAAATCAGGAAGGGGGTACTCCAGGGATGCATCCTGTCTCCATACCTTTTCAGTCTATATGCAGAACATCATGCGGGAGGCTGGACTGTATGAGGAGTATGATGGCATCAGGATTGGAGAAAATTCAACAACCTGCATTATGCAGATGAAACTGCCTTGCTTGCTGAAACTGAGGAGGGCCTGAGGCATTTGCTATAGAAGATCAAGGACTACAGCTTTCAATATGGATTGAAGCTCAACATCAAGAAAAAAAAGATTCTAATCACTGGGCCAATTGGTAGTATCATGATAGATGGTGAAGAGAGTGAAACAGTTAGAAGCTTCAGCTTGCTTGGTTGGCCCCAAAATCAACACTCTTGGTACCAGCAGCCAGGAAATCAAAAGGTGAATTGCATTTGGAAAATCTTCTGTCAGAGACTTCGCCAGACTGCTAAAGAGAAACAACGTCAGTATAGACACTTAAGTTGTGCCTGATCCAGTCTTTGCAATTACTTGCTATTTATCAAAGATCTGGAAAATGACTAAGGATGACAGAAGAAGAGTCTATGCCTTTGTGTTGTGATGCTGGAGAAGGGTCTTGAACATATCATGGACCACCAAGAAAACAAATAGTTCTGTCTTAGAGAAGGTGAAACCATGTTTCTCCTTAAAGGCCAGCAGTTTGAAGCTCTGTCTCACATCCTTTGGGCATGTGGAGAAGGACATCATGCTCAGAAGGGTAGAGCGACAGCACAGGAGAGGAAGACCCCAGATGAGATGGATTGATAACTGGGGCAATGAGGGTAGTTGTGTCGAAGTCAGTAAGACTGGCTCAGGACAGGGCAGCTTTCAGAGCTGTTGTACACAGGGCTGCTGTGAGTCCAGGTGACTTGATGGCACGTAACAACAAACAACAGCCCAACAGGAGTTGGATGGATAAGCCAATTGGGGTATACATGTGCAATAACATACTAAACAGCTACAATTAAGAAGTGTTATAATAAGAAAACAAACAGGAATATCTATACTGAAAGAAAACCAAACCAGCCCACAGCTTGAGTTGATTCTGACTCATCTAGACTGTCCATATACTTAAAAACTACCTCTAGAAAGATCAGTAGATTAGCTAGGTAAAAAAATTACTCAGAAGTGAAGATTAGAAAATAAGGAGTCAGGGAAAAGAGAGTACTCAGAGTACTACAAATGGCATAACCAGCACAAGCAAATGTTAATGGAGTATGGCAAATGTAACTCACATTATGAACAACTTGTGCAGGCGAGCAAATAAACCTAATGGAGTGAACAGAGAATAAGCTAGATGATTGGAATGTCCTAATAATGAAATTCTTCTGTGCACTAATAGACTTTTATAAAAGGGAGAGAATATTTGTTAATGGCACATCTAACAAGGGACTCATCTCTAAAATTTATAGAGAACTCCAGCTTCTTACCAAGAAAAATACAAACAAACCAGTTGCACAGTTTGGTGGGCAGAGAGAGGGGATGAAGGAAATGGCAAGGATCCAGCAGGGACCTGAAAATACTGAGTAATGATGGGCAAGGTCCAATGGTGATTCATTTTATAAAACATAATGTTTGGGAAGGATTGTATGAAACACAATATGAATGAAGAATAGTGTGAAACACTATACAAACTTAGTAAGCAAACCAATATAAAGTAAACATTTTAAAAGGAGGAGAAATGAGCCAGGGACATGAATAGACATTTCATCAAAGAATACGTTCAGTGATCAACAAACATGAAGGAATACTTAAGATCATGTCTCTCCTTCTATCTCTCTGTCTCTTGTCTAGAGTCAGAATCGACTCAGAGCTGACACCCAAAATGTTCAGAAGCTGTAAGTTGGAAGGGAGGAGAATGCACATTTGTCCGTCAATGCAGCTAGGGGTTTGAACTGCCTATTTGGGGGTTGGCAGTGAAATGCCTGACCAAGCCACTGAAGCTCCCTCATTAGCTTTTTGGAAATTCAAATCAGAGCAGCAAATGAGGTTTCACGTCAGCTCAGCAAAAACAGAACTATTCAACAAGACTTTAACAAATGCTAGTAAGTGTGTGGAGAGTTCGGACTTCTCATACTCAGCTGGTGAGGGTTGTAAAAGTGTGCAACCATTCTGGAAGCAGAAAGTTGAGAATAGAAATACTATTTGATCCAGTGCTCCTACTATTAAGTATATATCCCAAAGAGAGGAAAACTCACAGCCTGGCATGTCCGTGATTATCACAGCATCATTTATAATGGTAAAGAATCGGAAATCGCACAGATGTCTGCCCATAGACAGCTAGCTGAAGAAATTGCAGTACATTCACATGATGGGTTCTTTGCATCATTCAGAAATGATGAATTTATGAAACACTGCACAAAATTCCTGAAACTGGAACAAAGCACGCAGAATAACAAAGATAATGAACTTTTATAAGAAAGCCGAAATAAATAGAAAACAAAAGCCATGGAAGGAAATCCAGAGGTTATTTTTTAGAGTAGACCAATAAAATAAATCATTGGTTATAAAATTTTTTTAAAAAAATAGCCCAGCATGAACTTTTAGATTAAGAAAGAAAGGGATAGAGTAAATATGAAAGTCTTGGACTTTGATCTGTCAGGAGAAAATTTACTTACGAAGTCAGATAGAAGGATAATCCAAACAAAATCTCTTAAGATAATTTTTTTAAAAGAAGTAATAAATGAAAATTTTGTATGTATTATAGTAAATAAGTAAATATTTCTGTACGAAATAACTTATCACCAATATGTCTGAATAAAGAACAGAACATTATGCAAATTGTCAAAAAAAGTAATTTTACTTGGAGAGCTAAATCCACAAACAGGACTGTCAAAGACACAGTAGTCAAGCCAAACAAGAAAAGAATCAATGCTTCTTGAATGACATTAAGAAGAACCGAGATTGAGTTTGGGAGTCCGCACAAGATCAGGATAGATATACCCAGGACAAGGATCATGGATTTCTGAGGCTAGTTGATTAGATAGCTGTCTCCAGATGACACACCTTGTCCTACCTGCAGTAATAACAGTGCTAATAGCTGATATTGATTGGTGTTCACGCTGAATAAGCAGAATAGGAAGATAACATTCCCAAAGCCATTCATCTGGAGAAATAATTGAGGATTTCAACCAATGCGATTAACTTCATAGAGTACGTTCACATAAAAATGATAGAAAAAGGAAACACTTGTAAAATGCCTTATACTTCTCTACATTTTCACAAATATGGCAGCAAAGAATACCAGAAGAATGTCTATTTTTTGTTTTATTGCCAATGCAAAGGCATCTGACTGTATGAATTATAACAAACTGCAGCTTACATTAAGAAGAGTGGGAATCCCAGAACAGATAATTGTGCTCATGCAGAATCTATGCTTTTATCAAGCAACTGTTGTGTAAATGGAGCAAGGAAACACTACACTGTTTAAAATCAGGAAGGGTGTGAGTCAGGGATGGATCCTGTCTCCATACCTATTAAATCTGTTTGCTTAGCAAGTAATTCACGAAGTTAAATTCTATGAAGAGGAACATGGATGGGATCAGTATTGGAGGAAGACTCATGAACAACCTGCATTATAATATTGTTTGCTCAAAGTGATGGGGGCTTGAAACAATTGTTAGAGTACTCAACATCAAGGAAACCAAAGTCCTCGCCACTAGACCAACAGGCAATATGATAGATGGAGAAAGGAGTGAAGAGGTCAGTTACCTCATTTTGTATGGATCAACAATCAATACCCTTGATAACAGCAGTCAGAAAATCAGGAGATGCATTGTCTCAGGCAAGTCTCTTGTCAAGGACCTCTCCAAAATACTAGAGAGCAATGCTGTCAGATTGAAGACTAAGATGTGCTTGATTCAGGCTATACAGTCTTTTCAAGAACTTGCTATACATCTGAGAGCTGGACAAAAACTAAGAATGACAGAAGAAAAATTGATATCTTTGAGTTGTAATGTTGGATAATGACACTGAATATCCCATGGACAAAAAAAGGATATGTGAGGGGGGAAATGCAATCATGTTCTCAGTGGAGGCAAAAATGGTGAAGCTTGGTACTTTGGACATATTGCTAGGAGGGTCTGTTGCTTGAATAGATAGAGGACCAGCAAAAGAGAGGAAAACCTCCAATGAGATGAATTGACACAGTGACTGTAGGAGTAGGCCCAAGTGTGTCAGAGACAATTAGGATAGTACAGGAGAGTACAGAGTTCATATATGTTCATAGCATCACTATGAGCATAGCATCACTATGAGCTGTACTCAGTGGCACCTAACAACAGCAACAGCAGACTATGTTAAATCTGCCTGTGAGTACAATAATGACGTAACTACCTTGTTTGTCTAGGTCTTTCAATGTTTCGGTCTTTAATAGGGTCAACCAATTTCACTATTAGAGAATATTTTAATTTTCCTTCTCTGAAAGGTGTTCTCCTTACAAAAATTCCAGCTTTCAGAGGTTTTACTAGATAATTTATCATTTAATAAATGCAAATAAGGAAAATAAAACCAAGCAGAATAGTTACCCTATGATTTGAATGAAAAAGAACCAATGAAGTGTAGCATCCACTACAGTAATACACATGTCACTAAATAGAAGTACAGAGATAATACTGAAAACTACAACTGGTCAAAATCATAGAGGTTAAAGAAAATTAAGTGAATCAGAAATAAATAAACTGAATCTGCCGCTCAAAACATAGGGATCACTCAGCAAACTAAGAAACAAAACCCAAGCTGTACAAGTGCTATTGCAACAAAAAGCTCAAAGATGGAGTGTTAATGTAAGAAGCTTCCAGGATAATGGGTGAAGCAGTAGTTCCCCACATGGAAACCTGAGCTTATGTTTTGTGTTTTTACGTTCACTTCTCTTCATCACTGCATCTACGTTTAATGAGGCCCTGGCCCACAGTTTTATCTCCACTCCATTTCCTACCACCCAGCGTCCCAAGTACAATACCCCTTTAACATGCAGCCTTCACAATGTCTCCTCAACTGGTTGTTCCCCTGCTCAACTAACCAACTTCTGGGTAGGCAGCATCCTGTCACAAAATATATCTCTGAAATGCATTCACTTGACTCTCCCTCATAGGCTCATGGTCCTCCTCTCTGAAGTTCCCTCATTTCCATTTCACTCAATCTTTTTGAGACTCCTAATACTTTTGAGTGTCAGTCCCCTGTGTTAACACATCTCATGAGATAATTCCAAAAACTTTTATGTAAATTAATATAACTTTCTCATTTTCTTATTCTATTCAACACTGCAAAAATAATAAACGCCAGTTGAATCAGTTCCACAACTCAATGGCTTGCCCCTCCATTGCTGAAGAAAATTGCACTACTACAAAGCTTTACAAATGGAAAATCTTGGTTAAAGAACACTATTGGTATCAATAACCAAATAGACTAATGCCTCCCATTTTGTTTTTCTCAGTGACCAGTCCATGTGTCAACAATGCTATCATTAATGCTTCAATTATCTCTCACACAAGACTCTTAAGAAGGGAATGTGGGCATCTAAAGATGACAGGAAGATCAGTATGCACTTCAAAGCAAGATTCAAAGAACGTGTTGAGCCTGGAATATTAAGCAAGGGCATCAATACAGACCTGAGACAGTGGTTCTCTGCTGACACAGTTTATGCCCCCAATGAAGACCGTGTTGGGCATGACTGGCCTCGGGTAGTCCATCACAAAATCTCCTCTGAACAGCCACACTGACCCATAGCTGAACATGTCTGTCACAGACACCTCTCTCTGGAGGAGCTCAGAGGCAAGGCTTGCATACGGAGCATAAGAAACATAGCACATGTACTTCAGAGCCAGAGGGTAGAGCATGTTCTTAACCCTCTGTAGAAATGTCATGTGGTCTGAATTCCTTGTTAAAAACCTAGGAATATAGGAAGGTGGATTTGGACACTGTGTGGCCGCAAAATCCAATTCACATGGGATGAAACGCAAAAAATACACAGCAGGAATTGACAGGTACTGAGCTAGTACCGCCCCACAGGGGTTAACAGGGTCCGTTAAAACAGCATCAAAGGAGCTCTCATTCAGATACTTGATCAGGTCCTTGTTATACATAAGGTCCGAACAAGACTTTTGGTGCATTGAAACCATGTTTTGCAGATTTTCCAAAGCTCTAAAAAATGTCTTCAGAAAATGTTCAGGTACAAAAATCTGGTGACTATGTTGCAGAAAATTTTCTTCAAGTTGCTCCTGGGTGTACGGAAAGGCGTAGGTTTTCAGAGTGAAGAAGTCCTCTTCCTTTATAAGCAGATTGGCCTCAGGTGCCAGGACGACTGCCTGGTGGCCTCTGGCATAGAGCTCCTGTACAGCCTTCTTCATGCTGAGCCAGTGGCTGCCCTCCATGGGCACCACCAGCACCTTCCCACCTTCAGCCGAGGGTCCAACACACAGCAAGAGTGGCAGTGCCCTGACCACCCATGGAAGAATCCAGACTCCCACAGCCATCCTGGAGAAGGCAGGAACTGACTACTCCCTGACAGGTCATGCCTGCTATATTGGTTTCAATCACGTTATCTTATCTTTGATCCACTTAGCATAATGGAGTTTAATTGGTAGCATACAATTTTGGGTTAATAATTATAAAGGCATTCTAACCTTTCTTTCATATACTTGTCTGGCCCTTCTGCCTCTTTGCACACAGTTTGACATTCTCTATCTTGGAAAAACTCCCTTGACCCTGCTTTATTACTCCCTTACTTTTCCAATTCCTAAAGGAAATATATGTTGTTGTTGCTGTTGTAGTTGTTATGTGCCATCAAGTCGCTGGCAACTCATAGCAACCCTGTGTACAATAGCCCTAAATCCTGCTCCTGTGCCAATCTTATTGTCTCAGACACACCTATCCCCATTACCCTAGTCACTGAATTAATCTCATCTAGGGTCTTCCTCTCTTGCCATGTCCCTCCACACTCCCAAGCATGACGTCTCCTCTCTAAAGATTGGCCCCTCCTTGCAACATGTCCAAAGGAAGTCAGAAGAAGCTTCAGAAGCCTTGTCTCCAAGGAGCAGCCTAGTTTCACACTCTGCAGGACAAACTTGTTTGTTCTCTTAGTAGTCCATGGTATATTCAATACTCTTCTCCAGCACCACAGCTCAAAGGCATCAATTCTATCATCCCTAGTCATTGTCCAGCATAGCAAGTAATTGCAAAGACCATAGCCTGTATCAGGTGCACCTGAGTCTCCAGACTGACCTCGTTCTTCAATACTTTTGAGAGGTCTCTGACAGCAGATTTCCCCAATGCAATCCATCTTTTAATTTCCTGGCTGCTTGTATCAAGAGTATTGATTGTGGAGCCAAGCAAACTAAAGCTGTCAACAATCTCAGTCTCTTCACCATAATGATGCTGCCATTCAGTCCAGTGATGAGAAATACATGCACATTATTAAATATGAGCACCTCTTAACTCTACCAACAACCTCTTACCCACCCACATTTGGTATCAGAGGCATCACTGGTGTACTAGACCCAACCACAACGTGCTGATTGATGAGATGATGTCTTATGGAACTTTAAAGACTTTCTCTCAGGGATGAGTAATATATATAGCATATCTAAAAGTAGTGTGGGTTTAAAAAAATAGGCAATCATTCTGGTTATGTTGATTTTCCGAACTAGGATCTTCCTGTTAATAGCCAGCGAAGCCACAGCAAAAAGGCTCAGCTTTTATTACACTTAAATGACATGGAACACTGAACTCTAGCCTGGAAATAACCAAACGATTTGTTGAAACTTGACGTCTATCTCATGGATTAAGAGTAACTGTTAGGAAATGAGTCAGTGGCACCTAACAAGAACAGAGCAGATCTCATTCCATTCCAGGCACTGCACCTCGTGTTCAGCCCCCACCAGAGAGGTGCCAGTGTAGGCTAACATGTTTTGATACTGTCAGCAGAGTTATCAGACTAAAACAGATTAAGAAGTAAGGCTGGCAATCTACTTCTGAAAGCTAATGAAAATTCTGTGGTTCACAAGGTCTGATCTTAATCATTAAAGGACACAGGTCAGCACTAGGCAGCATTTTCATGCTGTGTACATGGTGACCTTAAATGAAAGTCCAAGCCTGAACTGAAGAAGTCCAGGACAGAACTGTGCCAGTGTGACAGCCCAAAATTCCTGTGGGACTAAATACATACAGAAGACTTTCACCAGTGGATGCTCAAAGCCCACATAATAAACATATGCCTACCTACCACTAAGTACCAGGATTCTTAACTGCCATAAAGTCAGAACCAAGCCATATCTAGCCCTCCGGTGGATTTTCAGAGCCTTTAATTGCTTGGGAAGAGATTGCCCACCTTTCTTCCAAAGAGAAGAATTAAATGGCTCGCCTTTGAATTGGCAGCATAATTCGCTACTGACTGTCACCAGCACTCCCATGAGGGATAGAGACTTGAATATATCTTTGGGGGAAAGCCAATCAGCCTAGCCTATAATAGTCTCCTTTAATCTTTATTCAAAATACTGACCAGTGCAAGATGCATCCAGGGGTTACAACCAGGTTATACAACTATGGTTGAATCTGTAATACAAGTATTTTTTATAAGACTAGAAAAAGTGAATTTTGCTTGGATCCACAATATCATTGGATCCACAAAATCATAAGAGTAGTCAAGAAATCAGAAGATATATTGCATTGGGAAAATCTGCTGCCAAGGATCTAATCAAAGTACTACAGAGCAACAATATCACTTTAAAGACTAAGGCACTCCTGATTCAAGCCATGATATTTTCACTCACATCTTACACATCTGAAAGTCGAACAAGGAATAAGGAGGACAGAAAAAGAATTTTTGCCTTTGAATTGTGTAGAGTTGAAGCAGAGCGCTGAGTGTTCCATGGACTGCCAAAGAACAAGCAAGTCTGTCTCAGAGGTGGTGCAGCCAGGATGCTTCTTAGAGGCAAGGATGGAGAAACTTAGGTAATTTGGGTATATTGTCAGTAGGGGGCAGTCCATGAGAAAAAACATGATGCTGGGGAAAGTGGAGAGTCAGAGAAAGAGAAGATGATGTCTTGACACAGGGACAGTAACAATGGGCTTGATCATATCAGAAATTATGAGGATGGTGCCAGGTAGGACAATGTTCATGTCCATGGTTTACAGGGTCACTACGCATCATCGTCTTCCAATGACATACCAATGATGGTAAGCTACTCCATTTCCACGATGGAGACATAGCTCATTTCCAGTCAAGTTGTCGTTACAGGTTGTGTGAGGAACTGTCTGTCAACCCATCTGAAAGACAAGTGCTGTGTCAGCACCTGAAAGTCAGCTAATGAGAATTCCCTAGGTCAGAGCGTCTCATCTGCAATCATGTGAGGAGAGGATGCAAGACTAGACAGCATTGTCATCTATTGTGCATGGTGATACTGATCCTAAGATCAACGCCCCAGTGAAAGTCTTTGGGGAATAATTGCCTTGGGAGAGAACTTCACAAAGTGTGCCTTCCACCATGGTTATCTCTAAGGAAAAGTCCACATAAGGCCTGAAAGCAAAGAAGCAGTTGAACTGGAAGGTGAAAATATGAAGAAGGTCCTTGATTCTTTGCTGTAGTCATGTGATCTAAACATATGGTTAACAAATTCGAAGATACAAGAAGAACTTTGAATTTCCTCTTGTGCCATTTATGAGCATGGAGTAACTTGCAAAAAACACACAGGACAAACATAGAGTGATTCAATTACCAACTACATAAATGGAAAAATGTCACAGAATTGGCAAATAAAATGGTGACAGAAAAAAAGGTAGTATAACGCAATAAAACAATGAATTTATACTAAATAGAAGAAATAAAGTTTAGTCCATTGTGTGAGTACACAGGTCCCATATTTTAATAAAAATCATGTTAGAATTTTAACAGTATATGTTATTGTCAAGAAACAAAAGGTAGATATTTTTAAGTTAAAAGAGAAAGGAAATGCAAACTACAGCATAGAAGTAGACATACTGATGTCAAATTAAAGGATAATTTTTAATTGTAAAAGCAATTTTTATCAGCAAAATACAATAATCTTAAACCTATCTGCACCAAATTAAGAGCTAAGTGTGTAAAAACAGGAGCTCTTGTGGCCTAGTATCCTAGTATAAGGACTTGCACTGTCAGTCCAGAGGCAGGAGGTTCAAATCACTAGCTGTTCTCCAGAAGAAAGATGGAAAAATATCCTCCCATGTGATTTACAGCCTCTGAAAACCCATCAACTATGTATTGGTTCTGACTGAACTATAATGAGTTTGTGTTGATCAAGTTATGTTGTGTTGATGGAATAGTTTGATATGTAAAAGAAACAATTAAGAATCTCAATATGACAAAAATAACAAATTCAGAAAAAGTAGATGAATGGAACTTTGTGAAAATTAAAATATGTCATCAAAGCATTCTATTGAAAGAACCTACAAATGAGGAAAATATTCATAAATGATTTATCAAATAGAGGTCTAAAACGGAACTCTAAACTATATAAAATATATCAACAACTCAATAACAAAATTACAACTTGATCAAAAAAACAAGCAAAATATATGAACAGAATCTTCACCAAAGAGGACATCCAAGGCGTTAACAGACATGAGAACATGTTGACAATTTTTAGGCATTATTTTTGAGTACCATATGACTAAGGTGCGATTGAGCCAGGCCAGTCTTTGCAATTACTTGCTTTGCATCAGACAATGACCAAAAATGACAGAAGAATTGATGCCTTTGAACTGTGGTTTTAGAGAAAAGTACTGAACATACAATGAACCACCAAGAGAGCAAGCAGGTCTGCCTTGGAGAGGATGACATTTTCTCCTTGGAGGCAATGATTTTGGAGCTCTGTCTCACATACTTTGGGCACATGGCCAGGAGAAACCAGTCTTTGGTGAAGGACATCATGCTTGGAAGGGTCAAGAGACAGCAAAGAAGAGGAAGACCCTGGATGAAATGGATTGAAACAGTAACTGGAGTCTTGGGGGTAGGTGTGTTGGAGTCAGTGAGAAGGGCTCAAGATAGAACAGGGTTCAGAGCTGTTGTACATACAGTCACTATGAGTTACAAGCAACCTGATGGCACATAACAACAACAACCATTGGATTAGCTCCAACTCGTAACCACCTCATGCACAACAGAGCTAAACCTTGTCCAATCCTGCATCATTCCACCCTCTCTGCTGTGCTCAAGACCATTCTTGCAGTAACTGTGTGAAGCCATCTTGAGGGGCTCCCTTACTAACCCTATCCTTTTCCAAGTACAGTGTTCTTTCCTCGGACTTACGCTGCGTGATAACAAATGTATCATGCAATATAATCTTATCACAGCTACAATGACACTGATTTTTAAAAAAATCCCCGATATTGTCTAGATGTGGGGATACTGAAAAACTTATCAATTGCTGGTGGAACAATAAAATGGTACAACTCCTATGGAAAGTAGTATGATGCTTTTTCAGGAAAATAGAGATTAAAC